TAGCAAACACTACTAGAAAATCGCTATTTACAAACAGATTTATAGACCAATTTTATATTTTTTATATTTTTTAAATTTTCTGAAAAATCTATCTGTAATGACCGTCTGTAGTTGGCCCGCCATTTGGCGTGAAGTATTATAGATAAGAATTACATATAGATTTTTTCGGTCTATAATTTGAAAATGGGTGGAAATTTTGGAGCGGGAGTAATAGACGGGAAAATCCATCTGTAAATATTGTCGTTTTTTATTGATTTTTCATTTGGCAATTTATAGATGGGTTTTGCCGTCTATAACTGTATTTGAAAAAATTTATAGACGGATAAATTCATCTGTAATTAAACCTTTAAAACGCACCGTTTCATTAAATCATTTACAGATGGATTTTTCTATCTGTAATGTGCGAAACACATAATAAATCCGTGCCTCCTCCTTCTTCTTCCTCATTTTGCATAATTTCCTCTCTCTCTCACCTCTCTCTCTTTGTTTTTCTCTAGGAGCTTCAGTTTTTTGGCCTTTGTGAGTGATTGGAGAATCCATTTGAATGATAATTTGCATCATTGTGTTCTTGGTATGAAACTGTAACTTTTAATCAGTTTGGTTTTTTTTTTTTTTATGTATTTTAGAGACTTAAAATTTCTAAGATAGAGTTGTAGGATTGGAGATTGTATGACTTAGGGGAAGGGCGTAAAGGTCCTTCTCTGAACCTGATTATTGTGTGCTGTGGGATTGTTTGTGTTTGTAGAGTTTGTAGAATATGCATGGTGTGGAGTTATAAGGGATGTGCTCTAGAACGGTTTAGGATTGTAATGTGTATGTTTTTTATGCATTTATTAATAGAATGTTACATAATATATAGATTTTTGTATTAAGTACACGTAAACAAATGTAAGGAAATATTCATATATTAAGGGAGATTTTGCCAAAATTTATATTAAAAATTTGTTGTATTAAGTGTAAAAGATGTAAGAAAATATTCATATATTAGGGGAGATTCTGCCAAAATTTACATTAGAAATTTGTGTAATGTAAAATAAAAGGTTGATACAATATTATGTATTTGTGTATTTGGTCTCTAAACATGTATTATATTTGATTCAGATATGGTAGGTAAAGTTAAAAAAGGTCTCTAAATATGCAGACTCTATGTCCCCTGCATTTGTCACCGGAAATGCCCTTTCTCTTGTACCTGAGGAAGTGGAGGACATGGTTCATACTTAGGTCCATGCTCACAATGAAGAACTGTAGAAGCAAAATGAGGCAAAGAATAATTATATTTATAAAAAAAAATTTAAAAAAATTTCATAAATGAATCACAAACGGATTTTTCTGTTTGTATATTACAGACATATTTTTCTGTCTGTATATGACAGATTTGTCTGTTATTATTTACTGACGCGCATATTACAAACAGTTACAGTCTGTCTGTAATGCTAAAATTCGTCTGTAATAATGAAAAAATCTGTCTATATTTGCAGGTTTTCTAATAATGAAACTGTAATTTGAATCGCTTGGTAAGCGTTGCAAAGGAATCAATGGATGAAGGGGGTAATTTCGTAAACCAGTTGAGAGCTGGTCCTTGTAGTGAGATTGGAAAGATCCGGCATAACAAGGCATCGTTGTCAGTGTATAGACCGACTTGAGTTGTAAAAATATCCAGATGCTCTTCTGGGTCCGAGGTTCCGTTGTACTTTTCTAATGTTAGGCCCTTTCAATTTCCTGGTAACTTAACTTCCAAGTAAGCTGTATGAAAGGGCTTCAGCCTGACGCTTCAAAGGAAGGGGTATTTCTCGTTTGCAAGCATGTTTTTGACTTTTCCTGCAAAGCTGAAAACTCCCCTTGCTCTTGGACGAAGGGAGTAGTCTAAGAAGGTATATATGTTTTGATTTTTTCTCTCAAATTGGCATTCTCTCTCTTAAGGGCCGATAATTTGAGAGTGTCTTTCTCTTTTAATCACTACATCTCTATCATTTTAGACCTTAACTGCTTTACTATCGAAAAGAGATTTTCATCCCCTCCCCTTTCAGTATTGGGGGGTTAGGTGTTGTTTCTTCCTGCTGGTAAGGAACTCCCCATTGTTGACTTTGTCCTTTATGCTGGCTTCTTGTTAGTACCATGGCTACTCGAAGTTGAGACGAATCGTGGCCCACGATGAGCGCCAAAATGTTCCTACTAGGGGTACACGAGTCTTCTGAAAATTCCTTTCCTCTAAAGCGAGATGACGTCCTTGCAAGTACCTCTGACTTCTCTTTGTATGACGTGGGAGGGCGTACCTGCAAAAGACACTCCAATGATAAAGTCAGGTGTCAGTTTAGGCAATAAATGCTATTGAGTATTTGAAAGTCAACCCTTTATCTATACTTTTTATTTTCTTTTTATAGACAGTATTTTGGGCTAATGAGCTTCATGAGTCAGCCCTATCTTAAGCCTTGTGTTTAGATACATAATTAACGATTACTTACCTTAATCTTCTCCAATATGCCTAATTTATCTTAACTTGACGGGGTGTTCGTCCTTGTGCCGAGGGAGTGCTTCGGTTCCTTTTTCTTCTATAATGGCCAAGTGGTGCCTTGTCTAGTACAATTTAAAATACTTTAATCACTATAATTGTTTACGTAAACATTACATATAACTGAAGATATAATTAATAATAACATAAAATAATAAAAAAATTTATAATTAATAAATTCTTTTGAAATATCATTATATTATTTTCAATAAGAACAATATCTTGTGTTAGTACAGAGATTTTTTCATTCCTAACTCCCAACTAAACCAATTTATTAAGAATAAAACTTCTAAGAACAAGATTTATGAGAAAATTTATAAAAATATGTTTGGTTATGGTATTTTTAATAAATGATTAATTTTCATTAAATGTTATGAGAAAATTTAATAACTTTAAAATCAATTACTATAGTAAAGTTTCATTCCTACCTATAAAAGCTACAAAAATTTATTCCCAATTATTCATAAATTAGTATTTCCAGAATCTTTCATTTCCAAACTACTTTTTAAGAATATTAAAATATTTTTTGTGCCAAACATCATCCTTAAATTATATTCTAGAAAATGTACAATACAAAAAGTATATAATATACTTAAGATTAAAAACTAATTAAAATAATTTTGTAAATTGAAATGTTTAAATTAGGTAAAATAAAATTCATACTTACTAAAATATTATACTCAACCCTTGCCTACTCAAACTACATCTCTCTTGTTCACTCTCTGCCGTCAGCTACGTGGCAAAATCATGTTAGTCCAGCTAAACTAATTGTTCATCAAAATTTTCTGATCAATGGATGTCAATAAATAAGCAAACCTAACTCTTTATATCCATGCTTAGCTGCTTCCGCAACTTTATCGCAGTGAATCAGCATGAGTTTCTCATTACAGTCTAAACAATAAGAATATATATATAAAAACAAAAATGATCTTCTCATAAATTTAAAAATTTTAAAATTAAAAAACAGGTTAGTTCGAGTGACAAACTATTTAATATTATTTAAATAAAATTTAAAATTTGAGTTTTTATATATATAAAAAATTTTAGTCACCCAAACCATATTCAGGTGAAAGAGTTTAGACTTTTATATATATAAGACATAGCTACATTATTTTGTCATGGAAATTAAATTAGGCAAACTGTCATAATAGAGAGTATGGAGTATACAACAACTGCATTAATGAAAAGAAAAGGTGTAACGAGCTAGATTACTAAGAAAACTTCTATGTTGTGCAAAATAATTAAGACACGATTTTTTTAATCGTATTAAACCAAAACTGATGCGGAATTGTTTAACATAAACAGCCTAAGAAATAATGTCAAATAAATAAAAAGTGCTAACAGTGTATTATTTTAAATAGATTTTTCAATATAGTTTAAGTGATTAATTTATTTTTTAAAAAGTTAAAATATTTATATCATAAAATAATAATATCTTTTAAAAATCATTTAAACTTTTAAAAATTGACCAATTATAAAATCCGTGTTAAAAATTGTGTGTTCTATCTTTCTTTTTAAACACAATCTTAGCAAATACGATTTGCGACTTAAACAAAATTGCATTAGAAAAAAAAATTACAGTTAGCATCAACTTTACACCGTTTTCGTCATACTTCTAATTTTGTCATAATGTACTTCGATTGAGCATGATTATTTTCAATACTATATTTCCACTATGTTGCAAACATAGTTAAAATGTCTCATTTTTGAGAAGACTAGTTTACAAGATCTAATTATTTTTTAACATAACCTGTGTGTGCAATAGATTGGATTGAATTAATCTTAACCATTCATTTAATTTTGATGAATTAATTTTAAAAAATTATTAACTTTAGATCTTATGATTAAGTTTAAAAAAACTAATACCAATAAAATTTTATTAAAAAATATATTTTTAACAAAAATATACTCTATTTAAATACTTATATTAAGTTTTAAGAATTAGAGTTAAAAAACTTTTAATTTAAAAGGGCCGTGATGGACCTAAATTTACAATTACAAAGGTCCATGTAATACGCTCCCCGTCTATACTTACTCAAATACTTTGAATTCTGTTGACAAAGAGAAAAAGCATTGATTTTCATTCTCTTCAAATAATATAATAATAATAATAAAATATTAGTACTCTGTTTTCAAAGCCATACCACACTCATTTTCTTTTCAACTTTGTACAATGTACTAATTGTAGAAAGAGAAAGAAGGTAGATGCAACTCACCCATCTGCACATCTACTGAGGTTTTAGGCTATCCAAAGGAAAGTGAATCCCAACTCTCCAGAACCACAAAAGGAGAACTTTGAGTCACTCTACTCAACCACAAAAGCTGAATCCTTTGAGCTCTTGATTAAGCAAAATTCACTAGGAAAAAAAAAAAAAACAAAGAATCTGCAACAATTCTCCACATTTTTCTTTGACCATTGAAGGGTATTCCTCAAATTGCCATGATTTGATTCCACAACACCACAGAGAGAGAGAGAGAGAGAGAGAGAGTAAAAATGGGTTTTACTAAAATAGCAAAGTTGCTCCTTTTTTTGCTAGTTCTGTTGATACCTCATCTTGCAGAATGTGGTTCTGATTACTCCACCTTGGTCTACAAGGGTTGTTCAAAGGACAGTTTCACAGATCCAAATGGGGTATACTCCCAGTCACTTTCTGCACTCTTTGGCTCATTGGTTTCACAATCCACCAAAGCCAAGTTCTTTAAAACCACTTCTGGCAGTGGCCAAAACACCATCACTGGTCTCTTCCAATGCAGAGGGGATCTCACCAATTCTGACTGCTACAACTGTGTCAGCAGGCTCCCAGTTCTGTGTGACAAACTTTGTGGCAAAACCATAGCCGCCAGGGTCCAACTCCTAGGTTGTTACATGCTGTACGAGGTTGCAGGGTTTTCCCAAATCTCAGGTATGCAGATGCTGTACAAGACTTGTGGGGCAACAAATGCTGCTGGTAGGGGGTTTGAAGAGAGAAGGGATACTGCATTCTCGGTGATGCAAAATGGGGTTGTTAGTGGCCATGGTTTTTACACAACCAGTTACCAGTCTGTGTATGTGATGGGACAGTGTGAGGGAGATGTTGGGGACTCTGATTGTGGAGAGTGTGTCAAAAATGCTGTGCAGAGAGCCCAAGTTGAATGTGGTAGCTCTATTTCTGGACAAGTCTTTTTGCACAAGTGCTTCATCAGCTATAGCTATTACCCAAATGGGGTTCCTTCTAGATCATCTTCATCTACTGCATCATCTTCTTCCTACTCTTCATCTTCCTCAGGTAATACAATGCATGCCTAATACCTACTACTTATATATGAATGTGACAAAATTTGGGAAGTAAATCTTTGGGTAAGTCATTCAAATTATATTAATCCAGTATTGTAGTCTTTTAATTTTTTTATTAATTTCTGACATTATAAACAGTTATTTATTTTATTTATTTATATTGTCATCTTATATTAAGAAAGAATAAATTAAATGTCAGTTTTGCAAGAGTAACAATTTACTAAGCGTTTTTAAAATCTTTGGACTAAAATCTGGGTAAAAAGTGAAGTATCAAAATTTAGCATCCTTACGTTAAATTTTAAATAATTTGTCATTGTCTTTGTCCTTTTCAAAAGCGTAGGTCCATTTTGTAATACGATACGATACTAGCTCCCCTCCCTAATTGTTTGAGTGTTTAGAGAAAAGGTGCTAGTATGCTTAGGCCATGTGTGGTAATAGATTAATCTAAAAGAAATAACCATTTGTTTATCAAAAGCTAACTTAGAAAGTTGATAAAGATGGAGAATTATCTTTTCAGTCCAAAGTAAGTTGAATTAAACACGAGCTTAAGAACTAAGAAATTGTGTGAAAGAGCTTGCAAAAATCATTTATGATTCCTGTCAGTTTTTTTAATTTATTTTAATAAGTTTTTTGGATATAATTTATCTATATAAGTTTTTAACTTATTCCATTTCTATAAATTTTATGATGAAATTTATATCATAAATCTTTATGCAGAAAATATTAGTTAAACAAGTCCGTAGTTAAAATAATTATACAAATCCATCTTGAAGTATGATTATATTTTAATATACTATTGTGATATGTGGCCTATTGATGCAATGACAGGGCAAAATCCAGGGAAAACAGCAGCTATAATATTAGGAGGGGCAGCTGGGTTGGCTTTTCTGGTTATATGCTTGCTATTTGCTAGGAGTTTGAAGAAGAAACATGATGGTATGAGTTATGTGCGGCAATAAGAAGTGATGTTGTGATGGGTCATTAATCTCTCCCTCAGTTTATTATTTATACTTACGCTTTTACTATTTCTATGTTTTGATTCTCACATTTATTCATTTTGCAATATTATTGTCTTGCACAGATTATTGACAGCAGAAAATGATTTCTGAGAAGGCAAAAAATATTCTTTGTGATGCATTGTTTTTGCATGTTCAGTTTGTGGATGAAAGATGGAAATTTTGTGGTAAATAGTGTTTGCTTGTTACAGAAAGAATACAGTATGGTTCACTGTAACGATTGTTGTAGTTAGACACATAAGATTTTGTTGTTGGGAAGGGCAATATGATTAGGCCATGAAAGTGAGATATTTTTGTTTACAAGGGTGTAACTGTAAACTACCCAAAGGAATGAATGTTTGTGATCCTTAGTGGATGAAAATTTTGGGTATAAGGCCTTTAGGCATGTGAGTGATTCTCCTTTTCCTCTTCTCAATACTATTGTTGAGGCTTTAATTTCTAATTTTTCTTTGACTTTATGCTTTTTAAAAAGTTGCAAGTTGCAGCCTCCAAGCCCCGAGAGTCCTGTCTCTGTCTCTCCTCAAATGCATTAAATATTAGTATAGTGCTCGTGAGATGTTTGGATTCTTTTGTTCGATTTTGGGCTTATAATATATTTAAGAATTATATTTCTTTTTAATTTTTATAAAATATGAAAAAATGTATTTTTAGTTCTTGATGAATGATAAAAATATACTATTTAAAGTTAATAAAAAAATTATATAAAGATTATCATGTAACATAATTTAAATTTATATTATTATACAATGTATAACTATGAAATCATAAATAAATAGTAAAAATAAAGAAATAAATTTTTAATATGATATGTGATTATATCTTTTATTTTGAAATCAATACACAACCTGAACTTTATCATCATTGGCAATTTATATAAATAATGTTATATAAAAAGAAAAATTAATAATTTGATTCTTTAATTTTATATTTTTGTTTTGATTTGATTTTTTAATTTTAAGTTGTTGTTTTTATCAATTTTAAAAGTTTTTGTCTATTAAAATTGTGGCCTTCTTTTTATCAACAATAACAAATTTATCAATTGTGATATTTTTTTAATAACTTAAACCAATAATTCACAAAAACGATAACTAAAAAAATTATTAATCATTTTTATTTAAATTATTTGTCCTTATATAAACTTAATAGGATCACTATGAAAAAAAAACTAATTTTATCTTTATAAAATTATAACATGGTATATATCCGTAAATTCATAACTATTGGTTTAATTATTATTTTTTTATGAACACGTCTATTATTGGCAAATTGAGTTTGTCTAACTAACTCGCGAAAGTTTTAGTTAAAAAATATGGGATTTGAAATCAATTTTTAAATAAAAAGGGTTAAACTGGTGAGTCAACGAACATTTTAACAGCAATTTAAATAATAAGATATGATCACTTATTCTTCTACATTATTTTATTACATTTTAATAATTATAATTAAATGTTAGTATTTTATATTAGAACCGACATAAATTAATTGTTATAACTTTAACTTAATTTTAAATTAATTAAATATTAAAATATTAAATCATATTATTTATTCCATATTATAAATAATTATTGTTATTTAGTTTATTTGTAACAAGCTTATAATTATTAATAAATATGACTTTATTGTTATTGTTATTAGATTGAAACATAGTGGATAAGTTTGACCTATTCTATTATTAACTTGGGATGTCTTGCTCCTAATCAGTTCATAATAACTGTTGCTATATTAAAACGATGTACATAAAACATCATTGACCAATCTATTCTAGATAAAAAAAAGGCTTCTGTAGTTTCGTCATTGTATTTCATAAATTAATGTTTTGCTTTATATTAATGGTTGCTTTGTCACTTGCTAGGATGAATATTTTGAGGCATGTTTGTAGCTTGGTAGCCAATGGTATACATTATGTGGCATTGATAACAAATACAATAAATAAATAAATAAATCTATTTTATTATTGTAACCAATATGAATAATAGTAATAAGACCTAATTTTTTAACATTTTTTATAGTTTAAAATTAGTAGTGAATTTTATTTAATTTTCTGGATATCAAAAGTAATTTTGTTAATTTTTTTATTGTAACAAATTGTTTAAAAATATTAAATATTTTTCTAATTTTGGACTAAAATTTTTATACATATTTTTGGCACTATTATGCACGTGTTATATTCAACATATTTTTCAATTTAGTATTATTTGATTAATTAAATAATTTGTGCTCTATTATGTGCATATTGTTGATTATTGTGATTATGTCATATTATTATTATAAAATTTTGTCACATACACACACACACACACACACACACACACACACAAACACACACATATATATATATATATATATATATATATATATATTTTCACAGTTCACCTTTGTGGGATGAATTGTGATAAAATATTATTATATGAAAATTATTGTTATTAATGTGACATTGAGAATTGTTTTAATAATGCACCTATCCTATTAGTTTGTCTTTATTAATATAGTTCCTAATGATTAGTAATTATATTTTAAAATTTTCAGTATCCTTTCTATATTAGTTTTAAGAATCTATTTATTTTCTGTAATGTGAAAGTTAACTCTTGTATTGTAAATTGGGATCCTTTGGCAAGATTATAATTGCATGGGATAACTATATTGTTGTCATAAGTTCTATTTTGTTTATTAAATTTGCTTACAAAAAATCTTAAATAAATTTTGACGTTGCCAATATCCATCAACATTTTACCAAAGTTAAAGTAATTATGAGTACTGAGTTAACTCTATTAAATTTTTTTTTTTATCATTACTAATGTTAATGGTGCCCTTTTTGAGAACTAGTCTAAAGTTCACACACCTGAATATTTCTCTATTGTTATAACAAAACATGATAAATGGGCTCAAATAAGGTTAGTGACAAATTTTTTAACAAATATTCGTCACAAAATTGTGAAATTTTAACAGTGTCTCTAGGCAAACATTTTAAGAAAATTGATAGGACAGAGAAGACTTGCTATCTTTCATTGTTGACAAAGACAATTAACAATTTCTTTGTATGATATTGTGAAGGCTCTAAGGTTATAGATTTTATTGTCTTACTCATACTATCAGAGTTGTTGAGTTTAATGGTGCTGTCTATTTTGAAAATAATTCAAAACATATGGTTTGTAAATTAAAAAAATAAGATAAAAGTCTATTTATAGTTTGAAGAAAGCTTCTAGAAAGTAGTACTTGAAATTTGATCATATTGTAAGCTCTTTAGCTTTAAAAAAATGCAGTTGATCAATGTATTTATTTGAGAAATAGTGGGAGAAAATTTGTTGTTCTTTTTATTGATGACATTGTTTTGGTGATTCATCTTTTATTTTAGGCATTGGGATTCATCGTAATAGATCTTACAGTATCCTTGGGTTATCTCAGTAAGGATATATTAATAGAATCTTAAGCTGGTTCAATATGTAATTTTGTAAGCCCTTGTTGCACCATTCAAAAGGGTGATAAAATTTATAATGCCTAGTGTCCTCAAACTAACATTGAAATGGTAGACAAGGAAAAAATACCTTATTCTTTGACTATTGGCTTTGCCTTATGTATGCTTAAGTTTGTACACGTTTTGATATTGCTTTTATTGTCGATGTATTTTAGAGATACTTGAGTAAACTTGGTATAACACATGGATAGGTTGCAAAAAGTGTTTTAATGTATCTGACAGGTACGAGAGATTATATGCTTACATACAGGAGGTTAGATCATCTTGAGGTGACAGATTATGGTGATTCTAACTATTGTAGTTGTCCAAATGATCATAAGTCTACATCAGGTTATGTATTCATGTTAGCTAGAAGAGCTATCTTTAGGAAGAGTGTCAAACCGACTCTTACAACCACATCAACCATGGAATCAAAGTATATAGCTTGCATGAGGCTACACATCAGCAATATGGTTGAATAACTTTATTACTAAGTTTGATTTTGTGAAAAGTATCTTTAAGCTTTTGACTATATATTGTGATAACTTTGCAGTGGTAAGTTTCTCTCTCAATAATAAGAGCTCAAAGTGAACAAAGCATTTTGAGACAAAGTTTATGTTTGTGAGAGAGAAGGTCCAAGAGTTTAAAACTCATGTTGAGCATATCCCTATTGAGCTTATGATTGCTAATCCCTTTGAGACATTGTTCTTTGATGTTTTAGATTAGTGGGAGTTTATTCTTATATTTTGTCATAATATCATATCTATAATATTTGAGACATTGTTCGAATAATAATTATTGTTGCTATTGTTATTGCCATATATATATATATATATATATTTGTTATGTCTAGTTTAATTGTTATAATTATTCTTGTATATGCATATATTGTTATGGCATATTATGAAGATATTTTGAATTGAGTCTCAATTTTATTGTAATAAGATTTATTGAATCTTAAACAACCTCTTGGGCGGATACTTGGGCTATTTTGTTGGACAAATTGCACTTTGTTCACAACTTTACTAACCATTTTGTTGTGCTTTACCATTTGTCCATATTCCGCTTTGTTGTTTAGTCACATGATATAAGTGTCTTATCGTGTATGATATCAATACTTCGAGTATGGATTTCTGCATTATTAAGATGCTTATAGTTCGTGTTGGCTTATTTTGGCATCTTGTTTTGGCCACATTTTGTTGATTAATCTAGAGTAATATGATGGTGTTTTTTTTTAATGTTGTTCAAGTGGGAGACTATTGGATATTTTATGTATAGACTTACATAAATCACTTTTGCTATAACTTTAATTCTAGATTAATTGGATTTCAAAATATTGAATCATATTGTTTAGCCCATATTATAAATAATTATTGTTATTGTGCTTATTTTTATAACTTCACAGTTATTGGTAGATATGATTCAATGGTTATTGTTATTGGGCTTTGAGCCATAGTGGATAGGCTTGATCCATCATGTTATTAACCACAGA